CAGATGGTGAAACCAGTTCAATAGAGGTCATGAAGGCTGCAACTAGCAACACTGTAGGGGCAGAGTCACCCAACCCCTTTGGTGTTCACATTTTGGCACAACCTGCTGGACATGGAGTTATGGGATTAATGTTTGCCCTGCTAGGTTTCAGTCTTGCTTTGATCCCATTGCCTGCTACCCACCTATTTCTCCTTTTTGGAATGGGAATGTTTATCTTGTGCCACTGTATATTGAAAGTGTTTTTTCCTTGTAGCCTGGCAACCATGGGCTGAAACTGAGAGCCAAAATAAACTTTTCTTCCTTTAAATTGTGTGTGTCAAATATTTTGTTCCAGCAATGAGAAAGTGGCTAAGACAATTGGAAAAGCTTAGAAGAGTTACATGAGAAAAAGCTAGAGCCCAGGAATATGGTTATTGCTGGAGAAATCATCCTTATTTTCTTAGATGAAAATGGCAGACTTGGGACTGGGGGTTTAGCTCAGCAGCATAAACACCTGCCTGACAAGCACAAAGTCATGAGTCTGATCCTCAGTACCAACAACAATAACAAAAAAGGAGGCTGAGGATTTAGCTCAGTGGCACAAGCATTTTCCTGGCAAGCACAAGGTCCCGAGTTCAAACTCCAGTACCAAAAACAAGACATCATGGTAGCCATTGCTGATTTCCTATCATTTTGTTTTGAAATCCAATAAAGCTTTTATTTTTATTTTGATTGGTTTTAGTCTTTTTAAAATTTATTTGATTTCAATATGTATGCAGGTATGAACAGCTATTTTGAAGAACACAAGAGACATTATGGTAACCATTATTGATTTCCTATTGTTTGGTTTTGAAGGCCTATAAGGCTCTCATTCTTCTGTCTTGCTTTTATACTATTTTGTTTTGCATTATCATGTGTGAAGGTATGGACAACTATTTTGAAGAAAACAAGAGACATTATGGTAGCCACTGTTGATTGCCTGTTGTCTTGTTCTGAAATCCTGTTATTTGCATTGTTTTGCTCTGATCTGCTTTGTTCTATTTTGCTTTGTTTTATTCTCTTTAAAAAACAGAAAATGGAAAAGTAGAACTTAGTGGTAGTGGAATATTAAATGGTTAGTTCACATAATAATCGTAGCCAAGAAAACCCTGAAGCAACTTTGTAGACTAATACTTGGGTGGAAACACTTATGCAAACACATACAGAGATTTGGAATAAGAGGGTTTGGGTCTGATTCCACATGTGATTCTATCACATTTTGCTCAAAGAAATGGGGACAAAATCTTCAACTTCTCCATAAATTGGAGATGAAGAATAATAATCTGGTGTGAAAAACAAAATCATGTTTCATTTCTTTGGCTTATGCAGAAATTTGCTTGTATCTGTAAAACATGTCTGTGCAGATCCAGTTTACTTCTCTTTGCTTTACAGCAGAGAATAATAGTCTTGGGCAATGGTACATGATTCTTTTTTTTTTTAAACATGTTTAATCTATTTCTTTTTAAAGTGTTCAGGTGGGCAGGTTGCATCCTTCCCTGGTCCTAGACGCAAAAAGAAGTGACAACAAACATGCATTCAAATTTTTAAAAATTAATTTTGGTTGGGAGGGAAGTGTTTTAATCCAGAGCTTTCACACTTGAACTACATCCCCTGCCTTTTTTTCTTTCTTTCTTTCTTTCTTTTCTTTTTTTTTTTTTTTTTTTTTTTGATATTGGGGATTGAACTCATGACCTCACACTTGCTAGGCAGGCACTTATGCCACTGAGCTAAGTCCCTGACCACCCCCAGCCCTTTTAAAATTTGAGACAGAATCACACTAAATTTGCCCAGGTTATGCTCATACTTACAGTTTTCCTGCCTCAGATTATGGGTGCCAATTCTCATGCTTGGTTTGTATTCACAAACTTGTGTTCTTGGGAAGCCACAGGACAGAGTTGTTTTATTTTGTAGTGGGTTATTTATCCCAGTTTTCCAGATAACCTGCCAAGTTTAATGCTCAAAATCATCCTTTCCACAGAGCTACAGATAACATGAAATCAAGTAGTTGACTCAGTTTTAGAAGCAAATTTCTGAAAAGTGTTAGAATCTAAGAATTAATTGAAAACTTTGCAGGATTTATGGTACATGGGATTCATCAAATGACACTTCACCTCTCTCCTATTTTTATTTCCATATATTTGGCCTCACATTTCCTGTATCTAGGTATCTGTATCACAAATTCCAGTGAAACTCAGACAATGTAAAATCATGCTATTCACACATAAAATGATGTAAAAAATGTGGGGAAATGTTCACTCCTCACCTACAATCCAGCAAACAGCGAGAGATTACAATATCATTCAAGTCTTTTGAAAAAGTTTAATTTCTTTCTCCAAGAGACAGTACCAACTTCCTAAATAGTGATACATTAGAGCAAGATCTTTGTGTCTTAGTTTATTCATCTAGAACTTGTTAAAATGTTATGAATGACACAGTGCCCACAAAAGGCCATGTGATCAGTAAATGATCAATATTACTACCCCTACATCATGTAATCTATGTTTATCTTTAAATTTTCTGTCTCTTCTGTCTTGGGTACTTTTTTCTCATTGTCGAGACAAAATACCTGAAAAAATTAGGAAAAGAAACATTTATATCTTACAATTTTGGAGGTTTCAGTCCATACAGTTGATTTCAAGTGGCAGGTGGCATGGTGGGGCCACTGTTCATAGGCGCACAAATAGCAAAGTCAACAGTAAAAGAGAGGGAGACATGTCTTTTTCCCATCCTTACACTGTATGTTGGCTCTACCCCTGGGCAGGATGCAGCACTCATACCACCAATCCCAGTGCTAGACAATGAACTAATCAGGAATGCTAGATTCAGCCAAGCCCATGATTGCATGAGACTTGGGGGGGGGGCATATGACATAAACCAAAACATCTTCCAACAGAAAAAAGTTCTTTGACCTCTATGACACTGAAATCTTATCTTTCTAGTACATGAACAGGTGCTGAATATGTCTCAAAGGGCACATAAAAGTAATATCTCTTAATAAGAATGAGATTTCCCTCAAGTATCCACAGTCAAAAGAAATTAATTCTCAAATTGATTTAATTTTCAGCACTTCAGGAAATTTTGAAGACTATTCTGCCAAGAAAAATGCATGATAACATGTAGATGCAAACAAGACAACCACAAAAGTATTTTAATCCAAGGCTGTTGATCTTTTATTATGTGATACATACTATAGAGAATTAAATAAGGTAACATAGCATTTTATCTGTCAAACTTATTTGGAAAATCAAAGCTGCTGGAAGGTTTTTTTTTTTTTTTTTTTGCTACTGGAATTTTGAAAACTTTTAAGTCTCTAAATCAAGTGACACTCCAACTATTCCAAGAAAAAGGAGGGTACGAATTACTATGCAACAGCATTGTGTTCTACATATCACATGACTGCACAAAAATGTATTTTGAAAAAAAGTCTTACTATGAGAGATGTATATTTCTCTACGATAAGAAAATAGATTAAAAAAGATAGTTGAAACCAGAACCACTTTAAGAATAAAAAACAGGATAATTTTGTTTGGAAATAATTGTTCATAAAGATTCACAGATAATACATACATTTACTAGAATACTGAGTTAAGCCTTTATATATGTTGTAGAATAAAGTTACATTTGATAAATCTGCTTACCATTTTTGTCATAATTTGTTCACTCATCTGATTATACTTATCCAAATACAAAAGACCATTGAGTCTCTTAAAATTAGAAATGTACTGCCTGGCATTGTGGGACACACTTGCAATCTCAGCACTCTGGAGGTTGAGACTGGAGGATCACTTCAAATTCGAGGCCAGCCAGAGCTATAAAGTGAATTCAAGGCCACCTGGAACATATAGCAAGACCCTGTCTCAAAAACAAACTGAAACAAAACACCAGAAACATATTAATTTCCCTTTGAAAGTTATTTTGTAGTAATAAAACTAAATAACTTTAAAACCAACATTCATTGCATTCAATTAATTCGTGTCAGGCATTTTTAGCCCATTGGATACACCAATGTAAAAATAGATTCCAACATCATGATGCTTATTTTTTTTTTTTTTAATCGGTACCAGGGATCAAACTCATGACCACATACTTGCAAGGCAAGCGATTATGCCTCTGGGTTAAATCCCCAGCCCCTGCTTATTTTCTATTTATATTAATTACATGGACACTTTCAAATAACGGTAAGCGTTTTGAAAACAAGTATACAAAACAACAAGATAAGTAACGACCCCGCCAATTTTAGTTAATGTAGTCAAAAAAGAAAGTGAGCAAGAGACCTGAAAGAGCTTGTCACCTTGTGGTGAACACTGTTCCAGTTCCTTGCTCCTTTGGACCAAACTATTTCAAAATCCTTGCGCCTTCGTTTACCCGCACCGTATCACGAATTTTAATATGTTACAGACAAGAATGTAATGTCTAGAACTCAGGCAATTAGGAGATTTCGAAATGTGTCCCTGCCTCCATGATACTGGTATTAAAAGGTATTAAAAGGACAATGAGGCATCATGGGTTCGGAGAGTTGAGAGTACTTGTTAGCTTCGGCCTGAGGTTATCTCGAAAAACGCCTCAGAATATATGGGTTCTTCCCTGCCACTTTTCTTCCCATTTCCAATAACGGAGCACACATTTAGAAAAATTAAAGTAGTAAGCGCAGCGCCTCCAGCTCGTTTCTCCCAGGAATTTATCGGCTGTTAAGATGCAATTAGCAAAACGATTTCCAGGAAAGAGCAAAACTACAGGTGTAGGGGCTGGGGATTTAGCTCAGCGGCATAAGCACCTGCCTTGCAAGCAGGCGGTCGTGAGCTCGATCCCTGGTACCGATAAAAATGAAAAAGACAAAAAAAAAAAAAAATCAAAACTACAGGTGTGAAAACATAGGAAGCCACACCCTTCGACGAAAGCGAGGTTGGCTCCGAGAGGCACAAGATTCGCGCATATAGTTTACGTCACTTCCGCTCCCCCTGGCGGGCGGTGCTACATCACGTTACAATTTCCGGGTCACTGAGGCCGCCCCTAGGGGGGCAGACAGCAGTACTTGCTTCTGTTCAGTCTATGGAGTCAGTTGGTTGCGGTGGCGGCGGCGGCACGGAGGCAGGTGGCAGTGTCCGAGAGCGGGCCTCTGCCTCGCAAGGATGTTACCGGGCTTGGCCGCCGCCACTACGGCCCACAGATGTAGCTGGTCTTTTCTGTGTCGGCTCCGCTTGAGCTGCAGGGCCGCGTGCCGCGGCTCCAGCGACCGCCGGGGTGAGTGTCCTACGCCGGCCACGGACGGCCAGGTCGGGCTTGGCGTCGTTCGTCAGCAGCCTCAACCTCTCAGTCTTACTTTCGGGTCTCCTTTTTTAAAGTCAGCTCACCCAACTCTCAGGGGTCCTGACTAGGGTGTCTGATCTTGCCCCCGCCAGCGCCTCTAGTATAGGACCCCCGGGAATTTGTGGGCAGCTGGAGGGCGGGGTTCCACCTCTGATGCCTGCCAGTTTGTACCAGAGGAAACGTTACGTGCGCATTGTGGTGTCCGTGATGGTCCGCCGTGCAGTTGGAAATGGCGGATTCTGCAATTTCAGGGTATTCTGAGCTCCCTGACTCGCCTTCATTTAGCACTTTTCACTGAGGCATTTTTTCTCTGTTTTTGTTTTCGTACTAAACTCAAATTTCCTAAAAGAAAAGTGAGTGATGTCACAAAAAGCAAGAATTTTTCCCAAGAAGTTGAGGGCATCTCACAGTCGTTGAATGAATCCAATTTTGGACCGTAAAACAAAAGAATTTTTCAGTTGCACTGAACACTCTGATGAAAAATGTCTGTTGGAGCAGTAACCCAGAAAAGAGATGGTCGATGAGAATTTTGATCCCTCCTAAAATATTTTCTGACTCAAGTAAATTGTTCGAGAGGTTCCCAAATAGCACCGAACCTGCGCATTCTAATCAGGTTTACTTCGTCTTTGCTGTACGTTGATATGTTTACCATAAAACGGTAGGAATCTTAAAGACAGAACGAAATCCACCCTTGATCTAATCCCCCAAATTCTTGATAATGCAAAATTTTTATAGAAACATTCTCTTGAAATTCATGATTGAAAAACCTGTAGCGTGTTTCTGACCTCCCAACAGAAGCTGGAAATTGCTTTTACTCAGATTTTTAAGTAACCACAGTAACTTATCTGTGCAAGTCAATTATTTTGTACCATTTATTTACAATAAATTTAAAAACTTCTTAACATTCCAAATCTATTTTAGCATCACTGTTTTGGGGGCTTTTGGGTAGTGATAGAAAAGTGTAATCATTGAGTTTGTCCATATAGGCAGGATACTTGTTATCGAATAAACCATCCGCTTATCTTGTGCACAAGATACCCAAGTGCAGTTTCTAATATAATTGCTTCTATGAACCAAACAATTTTGGAATTTTACACTGAGAATACAGATAGTATGTTAACCTTAAATTTTCCTTTAAACTTAGGTAAAATGAGTTGAAGGTTTAATTTGTAATCCCTGTTGTCCATAGCTGTCATTATGCCAAAATTATATGCTTTTTGTCTTGTCTTTTTGAAACAGAGGTAATAATTACCTGACTTACCAGTCAGAATGACATTGCGGTTACTTGAAATGTTTATTACCATGAAAAGTTAAAATATACTTTTGCACAGAGAAACACTTACTGGATTAGAAAAATAATTTTGTGGAAATTTCAATAATACTGAAACATGGTTTTGAAAGGTAACTATGATTTTGGTAAAATGTAAAAACTAGGGCAGGGGATTTAGCTCAGTGGCATAAACACTTGTCTGGCAAGCGTGAGGTTGTGAGTTCGATCCATGGTACCAAAAAAAAAAAAGTAAAAACTAGAGAAAGAGTACTACTTAAATGAAATGCATGTGAGAAGAAAAAGAACTATTGACAAAAAAAAAAAAAAATCAAAAACACGTTTCTTTGAAAAAGTAAAATTTTGCTTTTTGCTGCTGAAATGCCTGTGTGGCTGGGAAAGTCTTTTAAGGCATGTACTTGCATTAGTTGAATACTTAAAAAATGAGAAACACTTTTGAAGGAAAACAGACAAACAAACTGAGTGTGCTATTGTGTACCTTTAATCCCAGCACTCTGGGAGGCTGAGGCAGGAGGACTGCAAATTTGAACCAACCTGAGCAACTTAAAGATTTAGTGAGATTCTGTCCATAGGAAAGGCTAGGCTAGGCTAGGCTAAGCCAAGCTGGAAAAGTAAGTCAGCGTGAAGGCTCTGGGTTCAAGTCAGCACTGAACAGAAAGGAAAATAGGATTCAGTGACAGCGCTGTCCAAAAGAAATGTGAGGGAATTAGGCCACATATATAATTTTGAGTTATCTGGTAGTCATGTTTTATTTTTATGTTTTGATGCCAGGGATCAGACTCACAACCTTGCACTTACCATGTGGGTGCTTATGCCACCAAGCTAAATTCCCAGCCCCAGTAGTCATACTTTAGAAAGTAAACATAGCAGGGCGTTGTGGTTCAGACCGATAAGTCCAGCTGTGTGGGAGATTGATGGCTGGAGGAACATAAACCTTCCCTGGGCATCTTAGAGCTTGTCTCAAACAAATAAAAAGGGCTTGGGATGTAGCTCAGTGCTCTATGGGTACTTCAGTGTGGTACCAGGTTCAATCCCCAGTATTGGGGGAAAAATAAGTAAGAGTAATTAAGTTAATTTGATTGTTTTACCCAGTATATTAAAAATATTTCAACATGTGTTTAAAAAGTTGTTTGATCTACCGTGCCTTCCCTTTTTGTATTAAGTCTAAAAAAATACAAATTCAGTGTGTATTTTACATTTACAGCACATCTCAATTTGTAATAACCATACTTCAAGTGCTCAACATATAGTGACTATTGAATAATGTAGTTGTGGAGTTAATATCCTTAGTTTAGAATAAAGCTTTACAGAACAGTGTACATTCCAGTGGGAAAATGGCAAAAGAAATGCAAAAGGAGTACATAAAGAAGTCCAATAAATATGCAAAATGTACTCACTAAAAAGAATGTTGACATTTGAAGGATTTTATTACTGTTTGTCTTGTATTGACTAAGGTTTCATAATGATAATACCCATATTGAAGGTATAAGAAAACAGGAACTCTCTTACTATTGATTGGGAATGTATAGTTCAACGTTGTTTTGAGAATTATTCTTTGTATAAAAAGAACTTTGAAAAGTTTGTGTCCTCTGACCTAACAATTCTGCTTTAAAGAATTTACATTAAATGATCAGATACATATTAAAATTGTACACAAGTTCACTTAAATGGTAATAATTTTGTAGCTCAGTTATAGGTAAGAAATAGAAACTGAAATATTAGTGATGTATTAAGGGTTGGTTATATGTGCAGCTTTTAGTTTTGAAATACCATAATTTAGAAGAATCATGTGATAATAGGAAGATTTTTCTGTGTTATATAAAACCTTAGAAAATACTGTGATATTAACAGTGGGTTTCTGGATATCTAGGAAGATCTGTGTTTCTAAATATTAAAAATGTTAGTTTTCATGTCCCTTTAAAAAATTTCACACTATATAAAGCACATACTTATTTTTCATACATTTACCTTTTGCCTCATTTGACAAAATTTTGAGATGAGAAAGTGCTTCTTTGAATTTTTTATGCAAGATTGACATACATAGTTTTGCTTGAATTGAAATTTAGTAAAAGTGTAAAAATAACACATAGAAATTAAATCTTTTTATATTATTACTATTTCTAATCTAGCATTTATTATCATGAGTATTGAAAATTTAACTTTTAACCCCAGCAGAGGTAAGTTGTGCCCAGTCTCTTAATAACTGAGAACATTTACAGTTATAAGACCATTTTGACAGACTGACAGGATGATTCCATGTACACTAAGTTCATGATGCAATTTCTTGTACTTAACTATAAAGTGAAGTTAACTGTAGTATGTGTCTGATAGGGATTTGCAAATGAGGATCATTCTGCAAAGAGATGCCAGACATTGTTGTAATGTAGTGCTGAAGGAGTTTCCACCTTTATCACACAGATATTCAGAGAAAGAAAATATAAAGTGCTGTATTAGAAAGAAATGATGGGTTAGAACAAAACCAAGAAGGGCTGTTTCATTAGATGTGCTGGCTTTCATCATTTTGGGGATGGGTGTTAGATATGATGACTGTGCTCAGTTAAAGGAGATGCAGGCTGGGTGAAGTTGTGGGGGAAAGAGCAATCCTGGCAGAGTGAAGGAACCGTGAATGATATTCTGGAGCAGAAAGGATTCTGCTGTGATTGGGTTTTGCAAAGTGTGGTAGGATAAAATGAAGTTTGAGACTTGTTAGACCCTTTTAGGCTCAGTGTGTTTGATGTTTTCTTGTTTTTTCCAAGCCAATGTTGAAAAGAATTAAGCAAGACAGTAAAGATGTATGCCAGGATGCTGTGTAGGAAACTGTCAGTGTCTCATATTTATTGTTCCTTCGTCAAAAAAGATGACTTGTTCCTTACTGTCAGCTATAGTTCTCTAGGCTGAGTCACACTTTTATTGGCTAGCTGATGAGTAGGCAGCATTTCCTGTGTTTATGGCTAACAGAAAGGATAAAGTAAACTACATGGATAATCAGTGTATTAATGTCACATCGACTGTATCACAAGTGATGATGATGTTAATAAGGCCTTGATGCAGTTCCATATAATTTAGCAATTTAGTTTCTTTTATCTTAGACAATTTTTAAATATAGAAAAGTATAAGAAATAAAAGTTATATGTAATCTAGGTATTTTATTAGTCCTATAGTTAAAATCATTGCATTAGTCTCCCCTACCCCATGTAATTTTGTGTTTCATTTTCCTAGATCCTCACCTTCCCTCCTGCTTGGGATATGAACCAGTGGCCTATGACTGTCACTGAGCTATGTCCCCAGCCCATTTCCTTTTTATGAAAAGTTTAATTGTTGGGGGCTGGGGATTTAGCTCAGTGGCACAAGCACCTGCCTTGCAAGCAGGCAGTCGTGAGTTCGATCTCTGGTACCGATAAAAAAAGGAAAAAGACAAAAAAAAAAAAAAAAAGAAAAGAAAAGTTTAATTGTTAATAACTACATAATGAAAATATAGGACCCTTCAATAACTTAATCATTTTTCTCTTAAAGATATTCATTTCTGTTTTCTATTGTGGTTAGTCATACCATCAAGAACAGTCTTTGTGTCTTGTGTGATTTTGTATTTTAAAGTCATACTTTGTCAGAGCTTTAAAAATAAGTATAGTGATGAGTAGTTTTTATATGTCAGTGCTTTAGAAGTTTTTTTGGGAAAAAAAACCTCCAGAAATAGTCTCTTAGGTAAGGAGACATCATCTGGAAGACTTATGATACAAATTTGACTTTAGTCCTGAAATTAGCTGTAAATACACCCAAACCACAAGGAATCTTTTTGTTTTTAGTTATACTTGTAGAAGCAACATGTGTAGTAGTAGACTGAATTGTAAGTTTGTATGGGGAAAGGAAATTTCTTTTTGTTTTTTGTTTTTTGTTTTTTTACTAGTCTAAACATGAATGCCAGGTTTTCTTTGGAAACCAGAGTAAGTGGAAGATGGCAAGCCAGAATGGAGAGAGAGAATTGGTAATCAGTAGCAGTGTTATTAGAAGATACCAAGGTGAAAGCAGTAAAGTAAAAGCAGACATGTTTTAACTACTGGTGACTGTTGCTATTAGACTAATAAGAGTAGCTGAGCAATCTTGATGAAAAATACCCTTTAAATATATAGGAAAAGTCTTTGTCCAGATCAAGAGAGTAGTCAGTGTCAACGTAAGGATTAATATTCTCTATGCACCTTGTTTTAGACGTTACTTTGAAGAAAGGGTTATTTGTATGGTTTTATTTGTTTCATTCAATCAAATGTGATCTTACATAGTTTTAAAGATATAAACAGTTTTCAGCCTTGTATTAATAATGCCAAACATGTATATTTTAAAGTTGCTGATACTTGAAATTCTACAAATTAAAACTTGAAGACTTCAAAATAGCAAGGGAGCTATCCGAGGTTGCTAGGACAGACGGATTTGAAGAGCCCTCTACTGGTTAAAAATGGAACACTGAGCATTCTGGATAATAACTGAAATGAATTGAAACACTGTATCGAATAATGTTTAAATATATGAAATTGTAAAGACTTTTTTCTCCATCCTGGGAATTGAATTTAGGACCTTATGCCTGCTAGACAACTGCTGCACCACTGAACTACATCCTCAGCCCAAACCTGTAGTGATATACACACAAACCCAAAACTGTGTCACCAGGGTAGGGTGGTAGGTAATGAATTTACTGTTTTGAAAACTGGTCAAAAAAGGGTATGAATGAAAGCATTTATTATTATGTAATTTATACTATTTGGTAACTAAGGGGAATTGTCTCTTTGAAGAGGTATTTTGACTAATAGATGAAGACGTGACAAATTAAGATGTCATGGTTTTGTAACCACCTAATGAATACATAGTTCTGGGTATTGAATAGCAGTAGATATTCCACCAACACAAAGTGACAACCAAAATTTTTTTGTGTGTGGTGCTAGGGATCAAACTAGGGCCTGAACAACGCTAGTCTAGTGCTGTGCCACTGAGCTACTTTCCCAGTTCACATTGTGAGAGTCCTGTCACTACTTAAAAGGGGTCATCCTCATAAACCTGAATTTAGAGGAAGCCTTTACACCCATATATTTATAAAACACATAGAAGAATAGGTTGAAAACCAGGAAAATTTGATCAGCAAAATTCAGTCTAGGACAAAAGCAGTATGGACAACCTGGCTTGTTCAGTATTAAAAACGCAGTTAGAAAATAATACATTCTGGGGAACAGTGTTAGCTCAGTGGTAGGGTGCTAACCTAGCATGTGTGAAGCCCTGGTTTGATCCCTACCAATGAAAAGAAAAAAAAAAAAGACATTCTGTAACTTAAAAGAAATTTAAAAGACATCTCAATCACTGTTACGTGTTCCTTATTTGGATCTGTTTACAGAGAAACTGAAAAGTTATAACATTTGTAACCAGTAGAAATTTGAAATTGAATATATGTGAGATTGAGGGACTTTTAAAAAAAATTGTAATGGTGGTTTGATTTAAATTCTTGTCTTTTAGATATATGGAAATAGCTATGAATGAAATTAATGTTTAATATTTGTTTCAAATTATTTTACTGGTGTGAAAACACTGATACAAGCAGAGATGAAACAAGATTCATCCTGAGTTGGTAATTGTTGATAGTAAACAATAAGTATGTGGAAGTTTATTGTACTGTTTGTCTATCTTTGCATATGTTTGAACTTTTCTTTAATCAGATATTTTAAAGACTAATGAGAACCTTGAAAACCCTAATAAAATCAAGTGATAGAAACAAGTCCTCTTGTGAGGTTTTTTAGACAGGAATGCTTCCTCTAACCTTAGCACAAACTGCAAAAAAGTTTCATCAGTAGGTTAAAAAACAAAGTGTGGCATAGCGCTCTTCTTAGGTAATAATTACAAAAGATATTTTTAATAGGGTTGAAAAGTTGACACTAGCTTCCATATTGAAGAACATGCTTTTCTGTGCATTTTAAAAATGAGAGTTGTCTTTATTTCTCTTTCACTAATTTGCTAGCACTTTACATATCTTAGTGTATACAAATCTTCCATTCTTATTTTTTAATTACTCAGCCTTTCATCCAAACATCTAAATATTAAAACAGAAACAATAAATATGCTGAAAGAGGAGGGAAAACTCTTGAAGACGTTGGTATAGATAAAGATTTTATGAATGAAACCCTGGTTGTATAGAAACTATCACAAAGAATCAACAACTAAGGTCTTACTAAAAAACTTTTTCACAGCAAGAGAAATCACCAACAGTGGAGAGACAACTCATAATGTGGGAGAAAATGTTTGCCAGCTGTACCTCAGACAGAGGATTACTATTGAGAACACAGAGAACTCAAAAAAAAATCAGCCCTCCTATATTTAAAGACAAAATCTAGAAATGGGCAACTGAAATGAATATACACTTCAGTGAAGAACACAGCAAGTAAATATATGCAAAACTGTTCAGTGTCACTGTTTATTTGAGAGATGCAAATTAAAATAACGCTAAGATTCCACTTTACCCCAGAAAGAATGGCTATTATCAAGAAATCAGCCAATTACAAATGCTGGTGGGATTGTGGGGGAAAGGAACCCTTCTCCACTGTTGGTGGGAGTGTGGACTGCTGCAACCACTGTGGAAATTGGTGTCTACACCAGTGTTCCTCAGAAAACTAGAATTGGAGGCCCCATTTCAACCCAGCTTATTCCTTTTTGGGATATTTTCCCACAAGTATTAAATCATATCACAGCGATATATGTGCTCTCATGTTTACAGCGGCACAATTTTAATAGCTAGATCATGGAAACAACCTAAATGCTCATCTACTGAGGAATGGATAAAAAAGATGTGGTATTTTTTACAAGAGAGTACTACTCAGCCATAAAGAATGATAAACTTGAGACTTGTGGGTAAAGGATGCATTTGAGGCCATACTCAGTGAAATAAATAAGAGATGCATGTCTAAACATTGCATTCTTTTATTAGTGTGAGAAGCTGAAGAAACAATATACTTTATATATAGATATATGAGGATGTATACGGAAGATTTTATTAAGATAGTTATACTACTGATTTCTCTGAACTCATTGAAGAAAGGTTTGTGGTGGGATTGTTCGGACAATTAAATGCAGATGTACTCAGTAACTGATTTGAAGATAACAATATGCAATGTATATATCATTGCTACCCCTAATTATCATGTTTTGAAATTTTGGTTTTTTTCTTTTTCAAAATAAAATTGAAAAAATAGATTCACTTGTGAGGCTGAGGCAGAAGGATGCTGCAAGTTCAAGGCCAGCCTAGACTACATAGCAAGACCATGTCTCAAAAAAAAAAAAAAAAAATGAAAATAACTGGGCCTTGAATAATTTTCCAAAAAAAAAAAAAAAAAAAAAAAAAAAAAAAAGGGCGGCAGGGGCGGGGGGAGAATAAATTGATGTCAAGAAATTTTCCAAGAAAATAAATTCTAAGCCTAAAACTTGAGTGACTGCTACTTGTCCAATTTCCTTTGTTCTCTTCAAGTTATCTTCAGCATTCACAATGACTTATGTTCTCCTGTGATCCATTAAAATGATTGTATTTCAGAAGATATAGATCTGCACACCCACACATATGAATCAGAAATTTTAGATCATTAATAAGCATTAGAAAAATTTCACCTCTTAAATGTTCAATCTTCCACCCTTGGAGAAACTGGATTGTCTATAATGATATGATTTCATTATTCACCTAAAGTGTTACAATATATGAATTGTATATACACAGAATTTTTGAGTTCTTTCAAAAAGGGGGATTCAAAGTACTCATAGTAAAAGCAAAAGAGAAAGAGGGTCACAGGAATATAAAGACAGGTTTACTTTTCTATCACTTCTGTAAAATTGTAGCCTATAAGTCATCCTAGTCCAAATGCTTCATAATTAGTCCTTTTTGTGCTCAATTAGAATTTCCCCCTATGGAGACATCTCACCAAATGTTGATCTAATTATCTGCTTAAAAATCAGTGACAGTATGAATGACTGATTAATATAATTTACTTGCCAGGCGTGGTGGCACAAATATATATATATATTTCACTTATTGATTGTTAGTGAAAGAGAACTAGATCTCCAGCTAGTAAAAAGAGGATGCAGGATAATTTCTGAGTAGGAAGTCCTCCCCGACCTCCCTAGCCCTTTATTCTGAAAAATACATTTATGCCAAAAATAAGTTTAGCACATCACCAGTATCCAAAATAAAGACTGTATTACATATATATTACATATAAGACACTTTTCAAAATAACTGAATAGTATGAATGTTCTATTTAATTTCATGTATTTTTAAACTTTTCTGTATAAACTTATAAAATGGAAAAAAGTTGAAATATTGTCTAAACTTTATCTTTACAAAATGTGGTTCTTTATGCATCTAGGCAGATAACCTCTGAGAAGAAGGTGGGTTGTTCATTGTGCAGCTGGGAATTGGTTTGAAATTAAAATAATGTTTTTTTTTGTCTGGTTTTTTTTTCTTTTAGAATGGCAGAATTTGGTGACATTTGGAAACTTTGCATGCATGGTTCCCTATCGTCACCCACATATTTGTACACTGAGCCAAATAAAGTTGTACTCTACAAATATCCAGAAAGAAGGGCAGGGATCACAAACACACAGAGTAGAAAAGGTACCATCTTTTGGTGAAACAGGTATGTATAAATCCTTTTAATATATACACTTGAATGTTTTATGTAAAAATTACTTGTTTCTTGAATATTTGATAAAACTAGACTGATATTTTCTTTGTAGGAGCTATTAAATTGCTGATTTAATTTCTGTAATTCTACTTTTTTATTCATGTATAGTGAGTTCTTTTTTTTTCTAGGTATTTGTCCACTTCAAATTTTAATATATTTCTTTAAAGTTCATAATAGTCTATGAATTCATGACCTTACGCTTGCCAGGCAGGTGCTGTGCCACTGAGCTGTATCTCCAGCCTTCTATTTACCCTAAATTCTAAATTGCAGATGTACTTATGTCCTTTAGCTTTAAGGTTTTTTAATTCTGTTATCCCCTCTCCTCCATGCACACTCCATGCACACTTGTTTAGAATTTTTCTACTCTATGTCTATCCTTCAAAGTCTAAAAGGTAATTATTGATGTTTACTTTCCTTTATAAAACTACAAAGAACTTAAAGGGTGCTTTAGCTCTGATCACTTTCTCAATTTACATGTTATCTGTTGGCTAATATTTTGTATCTATTCTGTTCTTCTATAAAATATACATTATAATTTATTTAGATTTATCTAAAATATTTATTAACCACTTTTTTCTTATTTCTGCAATCTTTCTGTCTTATGTGAATCCTATAGAAGTTCCTTTGGATCAGGATCTTTTGTGGCACAAGTACATTTAAAACATTATTCTGGTGTATTTTGGCTTCTCATTTTGGCTTTTGTTCTGCCTTTGTTGTTACATCTTTTCTATTTGTTTTAAAAATGTCATGACCTTTGTTTTTAAAAGTTGTGTATCAATGACAGTTTTACTACTTAGTGACTGAATATATGTTTCTTTGTATTTTTCCTGCTTGAGATTTATTGGGATTATTGGATCTGAGGATTGATATTTTTGTATAACTCTGAAACTGCTATTATCTCCTCAGACACTCTTTCCCTGCTTCCCTATTATCCTTCTCTGGAACTCGAATAGGAATATATTAGATCCTGTCTGTTTTCCTTGTCTGTAAACTAAATCTCTGTCGAATTTTCTGTTTATCTTTCTGGTTTACCTTCTAAATTATTTCCTTGGGTATACATAGATCACTCATTTCTTCTCTATCTGCTCATTGGTTGTGCATGCTGCATTTTTAATTTTAATTATTATATATTTCATTTCAAGAAAACTTTTCCTCTTTCCTTGGTTGGTCTCTAATTCTTTGCTTACATATTCACACTTTCAAAAACTAATTTAAAAACATTAACTCTAAATCTAATTTTTGTATTTTGTGACTGGAATTCTTTTTGGTTCTTACTACGTATCATTTTTTCTTCTCATTTTTGTTCTTATTAATGATGCTATACTTGTGTTTTGTAACTGTGAGTTGGTTGCTTTTCATGCAGTTTTTCTGTCTTGATACTGATGTTTTATCTGGGTTGAGGATGTATTTTTACCTAACGGATTTGCTTTTGCTTCTGTTAGCTGATGCAACTTGGGATCATGTTAAATCAAATTCTGTACCTCAGATATTTTAGTCTACATTGTGGCACGATTTTGCACAGCATACTGTGTGAAGATTGACTTGTCCTAAGATCTTCAGGAAAGTGTTTTTTTTCTTCCTTGCTACTTACCACCAAAGTAGAGGCAGGTCTGTTTCCTTACTGTTCTGTTCTGTAGTTGTTATTTATTTCGAGTTCACAAGTATACCTCTTATGAAGCCTTGTTGTCTGGGTATCTCCTGTGCCAGTCCCCATCTTGAGTAGAAGCTAGCCCAACTCTCTGGTCTCTCATGTCCTTTGCCTCTATGGAGGTAGACATTCAAACAATACAAGCTTCAACGGTAATCACTGGGGAAAAGCTGGCTTTATTGTGCTGTTAGTCTGTAGGAGGTCCTGCTTTCACTTTGCTTTTGTCCTCTTTGAATTCTTCCTCCTCATACATTTAAAAAATTTTTGTTCAAGATATCTACTCTGTAATGCAACATTAAAAGGAAGCTGTTTATTTGCTTATTGATTAAAATTTTTATTTAGAGAAAAAGGCAAAAAAGGGTAGAAATAGTACAGAATTTCAAAAAAAGTAAGAAATCACTAGTTGATAAATTACATATTGTTATCTTTGAAGTAGTTGCTCAAGTCACAAAATCAAAGCATAAAAAGTGGACAAACAGGCTGGGGATTTAGCTCAGTGGCCTAAGCACCTGCCTTGCAAGCAGGTGGTCATGAGTTCGATCTCTGGTACCGGTTTAAAAAAAAAAAGTGGACAAACAATGACAGTACATTGATTAATTTAATATGGCAATAAATAGTAATCTCCATTACTAAAGCAGAAACTAAGCAAAAAGTATTTTATAATAAGTACTAGAATGGGGAAATTCAGTGTATTGTAGGAGCACATGGAAGGGACCCCTTAGTCTTGAGTACTTAGGAAAGATTTCTGTAAAGAAATGATATCAAATTAGGGGCATGAAGAAAAGTAGGTATTGGCATGAGGAATGGCTAACATTGCAAAGGAGACTAAAAGTGGTAATACAAGTAAAGTTCTAGGGGCTGCACTAATGGTAATCCTTTTTTAGGGGAATAGATGAAGTCAGGAGATTTAGAAGCTGAACAGTTAGGGTATGGTAGTTACATTTAGAAGATGGAAGGAAAAGTAAAGGACAGTGCTTGGTTATTGCATCAGACAGCTGTATAAATCATTTCATTGATTTGTATAAGAACAAATATCACTGAAAATATTTTAATGATATGTTAATTTGGTTTTGGATAGCTGGACTGTGTGAATCTGATGAGAGTTTATATTCATGTCCATTTTCATCTATTACTCTCTTACTTGTTCATTATGTTTCAACTAAGCTGATCTCTTAGTTGGTTCTTGTGGGACCTTTGCTCTAGTTACTTTGTCTTTCCAAGGTGCCCCTATTCACATGGCTGACCCTTTCTAGTTATTCATGTCTTTGTTTTATGGGAATTGATCTCATACTAGGATGTATTCCACCCTCTTTTTAGTTTTTGAGACAGTGTCTCACTAAGTCATAAAAGTTGGGCTTGAACTTGCAGTCTGCCTGCCTCAGCCTTCCAGAATCCTAAGATTACAAATGTGAGCCATCTTGTCCAGCTAAAATTTTAGTTGAAATATCAGGTTTGCACACAGGTATTTTTAAATCCTCAAACTAAAATAGCCCCCTGGTCTTTAATATTACTGTAATTTTCTGTGTAGGCAGCACTCTTGACTGATACTTTTAGTGTTTCATTTATTTCTTTACTTTACAGTTGTGGCAAGTGGCAAGCCTCAACAATAACAGGAACTTGTGTGCCTAGAGCAGTGGTTTGCACATAGTAAGAGCTTGTGTAAGTTAGTGAGTGCATGGTATTTTAACCTGGGGGTAAAGATTTAAAAGTTTTTTGCTGGACACAAATGGGAACTGAAGCCATGAGTTCTAGACGTTGCAGGGAAGTGGTTATAAGTAGAGATAAGATCTTTAGTACAAAATTGCCAAAATGAATTACAAGTTGGTGGAAAGTGGACTTAGGAAGGAATGGCTGGTGAAAAACCAAGAAGTATATGGTATCAGATTAGAGTGTTTGAAGAATAAACATCCCAAGACTAGCTTTGTAATAGTTCATTGTCTACAGAAGAAGACTGTAGTGATTCCTGAGAAACCGTTCATGTTCATAAGGCCTATTTTTCATTCTTTTTCCTACGCCCATTCCTCTGGGCTTAACTGTGCACTTTTAGTCAGTTTCTTCTCTATCTCTTGTTAGGATGAACAGTTGCTTGGATAAATGTAGTTGGATATTATAGGAAGAGGGAATGGAGAATATAATGAGTTCCTAAATTCTAGAATTAAGCATGTTTATTAAGAGCACAGTAAAGACAAAATATGGTGAAATAATGTAATTAATGGTAAAATATATGAATATATTATTTAATATATATCATAATATATTCTTAAATGATTATAGATTCAGGCAAATGTATTGACATTGGTTTCACTATACAGAATCTTTAAAGTTGACATCTATAAATAGGATTCTTTTTCTTCATTAACTGGAGTAAAGATGTTAGATTTTTTATTTTTAGATGAACAAAAACAAAGGTGTTTATTCAATTTTCTGAGCATTATAATTTGTATAGTAGTTATAGATCAACATGGAAAAGTTAGAAAATATTATTAATGAACACAAGTCCTTGTGTAAATCACACAAGATACCAAAGTAGTATACATTCACTGTCATTAAAAACGACATATTTCTGTTCATCTTTAACACTGCAAATTTTACATTTAATTTTTTTATCTCTCAAAAAATTAAATTGAAAAAAAGTCTTTCTTTTGCCACAGAAGGATATGTAACTAAGATTCATGAAACTTTTTACAAAATTTCTTGCTTCGGATTTTTCATGAAGGTCTTTTATATATGTTCATATGAAGAAAAACTCAATAAACTTTGAATGTTTCAAGTAGATACTTTTGCATCCTTGCTGGCTAGATCATGATGTATATAATAACTATTACAACAATAATCCACAACAATGTAAAATATAAAACTTTGTTCTATAAATCTCTTTTGGTCTCACAGTAAATCATTTCTTTCATCCAGTCATGTTGTCCCTTATTTGATTCATGCGAAGTGCTAAGTCCTTAAAGGAGGGGCATTGGTTTACATTATTGTTCCAGCATTCTGTCATGATCATATAAATCTCATTTGGTCATCTATCTGGTCATGGTAATCTTCCATTGCTCCTTAGGAGTTCTGTCAAATGGAACACAATCATCTGTCCTTCTTTGCCATTGCCAGTCATACACGTAAACACTGCTGGTGGACTTTTACTCTTCTCAATATATGTGAAAAGCTCATAAAGAACTATTCCAAACATCTGAGGCCACAGAAAACTTGCTGTGTGTCAGAGATTCTTTTACTTTGTAGTATTCTTTGTCTTGTGGGAAGACTTTGGGTAATCCAAAATCTCCAATTTTAACAATGTTCCCATTCT